TAAGTGGTAATTTGTCCCTTAACAATATCTTTGAGTTTTTTAACATTTTATACCAACTAGTATTATGAAGCTGATGTTGTGTTCTTTGCACTTCTAATGCCATTCGATGATGTTAGAAGAAAACATCAAATTCTAATTTTCTTATAAAAATGGTTGATATTCAACTATATATGGGTTCTTCTTCAAGCAATACTTGAAAATTATAATACATTTCTCCTGAAATTTGTAATTTTTTCTGAATTCCAACTTTTTTGTAAGATCATTTATAACATTTTTTGATTCTCATTCTTATATTCAAGTTCAGTTTTTTTAGCTTTAAACTTAGCAATTTCAGACCAAAGATTGTTATATTACGATTAAAAATCATGCTTCACATCAAAAGTACATTTAAGCCTTTTATAGCTTTCCTATTAATTTATCAGTATCTTTTAATATCTCTAAATGATTTAGGTTCAAAAAGTTCTGGTATAGAAAAAGATGTATTAGTTAATGCTTCTGATTGAAAAATCATCAGCAATATTGAAGACTATAAAATAGTAATTTTAGACTGCATGTTTGATAATAAACTTTTACATATTTAACTATATATTTAAAATGTATAATCCACTTACAGTATATTAGCAAATCCTACTATCTTTTACTCATATAAAATCAAAATCAGTATTTAAAATCTATTTTTTTTTTTAAGTAAATTTGTAAAGTATACTAAAATATACTTATTTTATGATTTTTAAGTTTATATTAATTTTAATTTATAAAAAAATTAGTTTACTCATATTATATCAAATTATGTAAATTGTTTTTGCTTTAAACAATCTTCAAATTTTTATTAATATATGTAAAAAATAAAAATAAGTACAGTCAACTTCCTTTATAGTCACTCCCGTTATAATCACATTCTACTATATAGTTACACCAGTTGAATGTTTAACACTTTATTATTAAAATCTATCCTATATAGTCACAATCTATCTATAGTCACTATCACACCTATTCTCAAAAATCTTATATTAAAAAGAACCATTTATAATCACAGTTATATAAAGAATATATTAAATAACTTGGTATCTAATAATTGTACAAAGATGTATCATAGCTTGTTAGAATCGTCTTACTGAGACAAATCAAATGGTAGTAGTTTTATTTTTTTACTGTGCAAACAGTCTTATGACTTTATCTTTTATTTATATTTTAAAATTGAAAATTTAAGTTCAAACAATATTACAAAATAAGAAAATAAACTAAAAAATAAAAAGAGTAGCTTCATGACTCATACAAGCAAAGAAATCTAAATTAAAATAAAATTAAAGAAAAGAAAAACTAAACTATTACAGAATCACATATCCCAACTTTACCCGAAGGCCAGTGTGAGTCAACTATCCAACATCTATAAATCCAATCTGTTACCAGAAAGAGACCCTAAGAGGTTGAACTGTTAAATGGTGCAAAAAATTCAAGTGCGAGATCCAAGATCCACCCCAAATTATAGAAGAGGATATCCAAGAAATCCAGGAATCCTGAGAAACTAATGCCAAAGAAGAGTTGTAATGATGTGGAGAAATAGTGTGAGAGGAAACAGCAGAAGGACTACATGATTTAGATGAAGCAGAAATTCCTTGAGATTTTTTCCAAGCATGAAAAAGAACATTGCGACATAGCCAAATTTCACCATATAATTCAACTTGAAAATCATTATTCATTAAGAAGAGGAAAAATAGTCTTGTACACAACAGAAAGAGGAAAATAATTCTTCAAGAATGTTGTTAGATAGGCAGGGAGTAATCCCCTAGTGAGCCATAGAAAGGATGGAAAAGGAGCCTTAAAGTTCTAACAATCCAATGCAGAGAATTCGTTTTGAAATGAGGCTTGTAAAGATTTTAAGGACAAAAATGAGGCAATACAAGTATCCCAAAATTTTACAATTTCATTACAGTGAGTTAGTTTTATTCTTTTACGATCACTGCCTGGCTGATAAGTTATTCAACAAAATGTTAAATATCAGCATTATAATTAGAGTTCCGAATGGGTCAGGTCAGGTCAGGTTATATCAGATTATCTGTTTGACCTGACCTGAACTGAAACCTGAAAATTTTCAGAATTTATATTAAAATATCAAAAAAAAATGGTGCAAACTATTTTTTTTGAAATATTGCGATTCAGTTTTTTATATTAAAATCGTATAAAAAGGTGAATCGCAATACTGCAACTAACTTTTTAAATATAAAATCAATATAAAAAAGTGAATCCTGATACTGCAATTCATTTTTTATATATAAAATCAATATAAAAAAGTGAATCCCAATACCGCAATTCATTTTATATATATAAAATTGATATAAAAAAGTGAATTCCGATATCGCAATTCACTTTTTATATATAAAATTAATATAAAAAAGTGAATTCTGATACCGCAATTCACTTTTTATATATAAAATCGATATAAAAAAGTGAATTCTGATACCGCAATTCACTTTTTATATATAAAATCGATGTAAAAAAGTGAATTCTGATACCGCAATTCACTTATCAGAATTCACTTTTTATATATAAAATTGATATAATAAAGTGAATTCTGACGCTGCAATTCACTTTTTATATATATAATCAATATAAAAAAGTGAATCCCAATATCACAATTCACTTTTATTATATAAAATCAATATAAAAAGTGAATTATAATACCATAACTTACTTATTATATAAAATCATAGTTTCAGGTCAACAGGTCATTCAGGTTATACTGATGTTACAACCTGAACTGATGTTGAATTGAAAAATTCAGATCAACCTGTCAGGTTACCTGAATTTGATTAACCTGTTCGGAATTCTAATTATAATATTTCTTGATTTATGTTTACTGTGCCATTTAACATTTTGCTAAATTTCTCAGTACCTAGTGATTATAAAAAGACAATTAATAGCCCATTGGAAATTGGAATCGCCTCATCAAGACGAATCGAATGGTGGTAAGCTCATCTTTCTGTGATCAATATTGACGGAATTATTACTTAAAAACCATTTAATATTTTTAATTTTGGAAATTAATCTAGTGATTGGATTTCGATGTATCTTATACCATTAGATTCGTCTCATCAAGACGAATCGAATGGTAGTAAGATCGTCTTTCTAGGATCAATATTGGCAGAGTTATTACACAAAAACCATTAATATTTTTTTAATTTAGGAAATTAATCTAGTAATTGGATTTCGACGTATTTTATACCATTAGAACCGACTCATCAAGACGAATCGAATGGCGGTAAGATCATCTCTCTATGATTAATATTGGCGAAGTTACGATACAATAAATTTTTAAGTATAATTCTGGCTAAAATTATGTTAATTTTTGGCCGGAATTATGATANCTATGATTAATATTGGCGAAGTTACGATACAATAAATTTTTAAGTATAATTCTGGCTAAAATTATGTTAATTTTTGGCCGGAATTATGATATACAAATATAAGAAATTTTTTATATAGTCACATCTCTTTATAATCACCAAATATGGACTGTTCCAAATGTGTGACTATAAAGAAAGTTGACTGTATATTTAAAAAAATGGTTCACAACATTTTTTTCAATGCTTTAATAAAAAAATATTACAAAAATGATTTTTTGCATAATAATGTTTGAAAAAAATGTTTTGCAACATTTTTTTTTGATATTTTAATAAAAATATTGCAAAAATGTTTTTATTAAATATTACATTAAAAAAAATAGTTTGCAATATTTTTTAATACTTTAATAAAAAATATTGTAAAAATATTTTTGCATAATATTTTATCAGGTATTTACTAATTGGTGATTTATGTTAGTACAACCAGTTACTAATAAGTTGTATAAAAAATACCTATTACATAAAACTAATAAAACAGTTACTCAGCACTAAGGTTGTCTGCTTAAACCTTTTCAATATTTTACGATTAGTTTCTCCAAAATTTTACTATAGTTTATTTTATTATAGTTTTGGCAAGGTTTTGGCAGTTTCGGCATTTATAATAATAAGTTTTGTCAGATTTCATTTTTCTCCAGAGTTTCACCAACTTTTTAATAAGACTTTCATATAGTTTTAGCAAACTTTCACCATTTCAGCATTTTGCCAATTTGCCAAAACTCCCTAGTTTCTCCAGCAACCTTACTCGGTACAACATGACCTCATAACTGCGGCACTGTCATGTCTTATATGTATTTGCAATAAGAATATGATCAGTAAAATTTACTGAGCTGCACTCAGTAAATCTTACCAATCATATTGCTTATTGCAAATACAACAGTTACTCGGCATGAAGTGCCGAGTAACTATTAAATATTAAAAAAAATGTTTTGTAACATTTTTTTGATATTATAATAAAAATGTTGTAAAAATATTTTTGCATAATATTATATTAAAAAAATGTTTTGCACCATTTTGATGCTTTAATAAAAATGTTGCAAAAATGTTTTTTTTATAATATTATATTAAAAAAAATGTTTTGCAACAGTTTTTTTCAATGCTTTAATAAAAAATGGTGTGAAACATTTTTCTTACTTGAGCCATGATTTCCATAGTCATTTTAGCTTGAGCTAAAATTTTTATGACTCAGCTTATTCTGGCTCAAACCAGAATTTTTTTTTGAGCTGAGCCAAGCCAAACTGTGACTCAGCTCAAGCCAGCTTATGTAGAGCTTTAAATCTATCATTTAAAATCATTTTTTTTTTTATTATTTATTTTGAAACTATTTACAATTATTCCTGATATTTCTAATTATACTATACAATATATATTAAATAAAATTTATTTAATAAAATCTGATAAATTTGTCTACTTATTCTAATTATATTGAAATTAAATTGAATTTGTTATTTCCCACCCCTTTGTGTCTAGCTTTCAATACGTTAATACTTGCGAATTGTTCTTATAAAAGATAATAAATTACTTGTATTATTACAATAAAGGTAACTTTTCATATTATGCAGATAGAATTTATAATAAAAGCTTTATTTTTACTAATAAATTTACATGTTAGTACTGTGATGCATCTAGGTTGCTAGTAATATTAACTCCGGTCAATAAATTAAAAAATTACAAGTGCTTTCTGTGTTTCACTTGCCAAGAATTTTTTCGCGTGTATCCAAGACATAATATTTCTTTCCTGTCTTATTGCGAAGCCAACATCACATATGGTATGCAAAAAATCATGATAATGCGCGTCATTGCAATATTGTTGTTATCAGCTTAACATATACACACTACATGTATAGTATGCAGTTTAAGCTATTTATGCACGACAATACCATTACAAAGTATAGTAACATATGCATTTTGTATTTTTTTCCTTGCATATGAATTTGATTTCAACCTTAAACCCATAATCTTTTAATAATAGTTCGCTAACTAGAACGAAAACATGAACAATGTAAAATAGCAGGAGGAAGAAATGCTGGTGCAAGTTTACAAAGCTGTTAATGAATTTATTTCTAATTGTGCAGGAACTATGAGACTTAGTATAAAAAATGTGATAAAACCTAACGAGATATCGATAAGAATTCCACATTCGTTATATGAAAAATAATTGCAATCCGGGTAGACAACGGTCCAATAAAAATTGGGAATAACCATCCTACAGAAAACCGAGAAGAGAGCCAAGACGAAGAGTGATCCAAGGATTCCCCGCAAAATTAAAAGATATCCAAGCAAATGAGGATTATCTAAGAATAATTTAGTAAATAAAAAGGGAAATAAAATAGATAAAATTGTTGAAAAAGTATTCAATAGAAGTAGTGATTATTTGTGATTTTACCTGGTTCTACAGCTTTGGCAATTGTCTGGTCTATTTCATTTGTGAATCCAATTGAGAAGTTTTCTTTATAGTAATTTTCATTTGTGAACCAAACACCAATAACTGCAATAACTGCAGGATCATCAGCAAAGCGCTCAAGAAACATCTTTTTATAATCAGTGGCCTGTCCTTTTACATCACGATACTTTTGATATTTGTCAGAATGGGAATTGATAACTTTTGCCTCAACAACTGCGAATATCCCCTTGCCATTCGTAAGAATAATGTCATTTCTCCCCTTATCTGGACGATTCGGGACTGGATGCCAGTCATACTCATATAGGAACTTAAAACCTAAAAGCCAATTTTTTGGAAAGAGACTTACAGAATTTTGGACAAGTTTATCTTGCAAATTGGCTTCGAGTCTATTCATAAGATAATGAGAAGAATTAAAAGATATCCATTTGTTTCTATTGGTATAATCAATGGAGGCCATTTCTGAAGTGAAGTAGAAAGGATATACACGGGGAAGTGTTTTTATTATCAACTTTATTATATTATTGGTATCTTCCTGTTTCCAAGAATATTCACCGTATAAGCCATGAAGTGGTGCTTTAATATATTGTGGAAAGAAGTTTTCATCCGAATGTAACCATTTGGGTGCATCCGAAAAGAAAAAGGATGTTTTTCCTTCATTTAATGCCCTGAAAAATAGCTTACAACGATAAAGTAATAGTTCCATATTGTGAAAAAAAATTGACACACACCAAATCTTCAATATTTCTGATATGGTTGCACAATAACGCCAAAAATCTTTAAGGCTGTGCATGAAAACACAAATTTATCAGTTACTTGTACCATATATTAAAGTAAATCTAATTGCATATAATATATAATCAGTTACTAATACTACTCAGGCGATATATAGTTGTAAAGATAATTAGCTAATAATAAATGTCATAGCTTTATTAAATTCTCTCTTTTTAACACAAATTAAACTTTTGCATTATAATTTAGATTGGCTATAATTATAAAATTAATGAAATCTTTCCAAAATCCTACGATTAGATTTTACTATAGTTTTATTATAGTTTCAGCCAAGTTTCAGCAGTTTCAGTATATGGCGCAATTTAGGTATTATAAAATTTACCAGAACTATTAGAACAGATTTTATATTTCTTAGTGGTAGGTAAGTCATTCTATCCTACTTTATTTGTTTCCCGATTGCGGTACAAATGCAGTGCACCTATTCTGTGAAGACGTATTGAGCTAAAGGGAAATGAAGTAGAGAATTAATCTTAATTGGAAAGATTTTTAAAATTAGTATGTGGAGGACGAAAGCCAATTTATGCTCACATCTAACTCATCCCTCCCTTCGATCAAAGATCTTTAGGAATAAAGTCTTCCAATTAATTTTTTATCTGAAATAGTTAGCTTATATTCCACAGTACTAAAGGTACAAGGGAATAATATAGGTCTAACTGCAATCACAAATTCATGCCATAAATTAGAATATCCCTCCCTTGATCATTGATCTGTGGAAGATTAGCAAACTGTTTAGTGAAATTTTTTTTTCTGGAATTTTGCTATGAAATATTGGAAAGCTTTCATCCTGAGATCTTTGATCGAAGGATCTGAGGGGTGTTGTAAAATTAGCAAAGGGTGAGTACTATAACTTCTGATCTTATTGGAGCAGTTAGGAATATCTTATACATCCCAATAATCAAATATTTGCTCAGGAGCCTTCGGAATCCTTTTAGATCTAAGTATGCGGGATAATTTGCGGTGGCATTCGACCCGGGAGATTTTTTTGCTGAGCCACAAATTGTGCGACAAAAATATGCAGATCACCAGACAGGTCTGTGTGACATATTAATTATCGAAAAAATATTTATACTAAGTCCCTCTATTTTTTCCCCTCAAACAAATGTGAGAAAAATGTGAAAGGTTGTCTAGTTGCGGTACAGGACCTACCCCATAAGTAAATAGTGTCGACAAAAGCATATGTTATGAAAGGCTGAGAACTTCGCAATTTCGAGATCGTCAGGCGTAAAGCCAACTATATGCCTTGCAGGGTAGATCTACATGTGAAAAGGTATGAAGAGTCCATTTGCATGTGCTTTCATGGAACTCTTGGCATCAGACGACAATACTAATTTACGCCTCATACCTCCTTAACTTTTTCCCAGCAAGATATAAAGCATGTAGGAATATGTGGAAGTTCAGCCAACTTTCCGCAAAAACTTTCCTAGAGAAAATAACGCAAAAACATATGCCAGAAGTTATGTATACATGCGAGTGAAAGTTTCTCACTATGAGCTTTGTATTTAGGAAAGCAAGATGTCTAATAAGGCTGAAGTGCTCAATAAAACCAATACATCTGATACCTCAACAATTAACGAGTTAAGCAAAGGTAGAGGTAATACTCCCAACCATCTCACCTCCGATGAAAAAAAATATCTAGTATCATAGACAAACAAGTTGCTCTTGCGAATGAAAGGGTGGTCTTTATGAAGCTCCAGATGGTATGGATTTATATATATACCAAGGGATTGATTTTTGAAAAAAACTACATAGCTTAATACATATAAAAAAATACACATAAAAATATGACACGAAAAAAAAAAATAATAATAATATAAAACGAACTGAAAAAATAATGATATGATAATAATAAAAAATGAAAAAATTGAAGATATTTCCTAATTCACCACAACGATGGTATACTGGAGATATAAACTCAGTCTATACCTTGCTAGATAAGATCATCATGTAAAAGCGATATATTCGCAATTTTTTATGTATTTGTAAGCCGGTTCCGGCAACGTTTTTTTTTTTATTTCTTAAATAAAGCATATATTTCGTTCTTTCGTAAATCTCGATAGATGTCACGTGTAAGATGTGAGTCCCTTCGGGACCCGTGAGGCTCCGAGCGTGTTTACTTCGGAAGTAAAAAAATACTTTTATATCCATAAACCAGCTTTACCTGTAACTGTAGTCGGGTGCATATTTTTCCACACATATAAAACCATGTATTCACAAATCACAAGTTTCTTTCACCCGCCTCAATAACGGAAGAAGTCTCTTCACGAACAATGTCGGACGTTGTTAAGGATTTTAATACAGAGGAGCTTATCGAATATTTGGGGAGGAAAAACTTAAAACTCGATAAAGATGATATTAAAAATTCTTCGCAAAGAGAAAATTGCCGGCTCTGACTTTCTTGAATTAACAAAAGAAAAATTCCGTAGTATTGGTTTTGCGTTAGGCCCAGCAACAAGACTTATGAAATTCATTGCAGAAGCTACGAAACTATTCTTCGCTTAAAACTCTCGACGACTTGAAAGAAATGTTGCGAAGTTAATGGGGAAGATATAACGAGTATCAAGCAGTTTACTCCTGGTAGGTAATTATCTTTTGAAACTAACTAGATAGCCATAATAACCTTATTTTTCTCTGCAGTCTTCGAGGAGATTAGTGATGATGATAAGGCATTCGAACACTGTATGGAGGACATTATCTTAAAACTTTCGAACGTGGAAACCATGACCGATGCTAACGAGGCGCGCGTTGTGAATTTATTTCAGCAATATTACACGCATCAATTGCCATAGCCAAAAAACTTACCACCAAAGATATATTTATAGTTTTGCAGAAAGACGTTTCCGGTGAAGATGCAACGGGTCGAGTAGATTACGTGATCAAAAGTTTGGAAGACCTCCTTTGTATAATTGAGGGGAAACCACGCAATATCAAGATTGAGTATGCGCAGGTGGGCCTACTATCCACATTTTCGCTTTTTAACATATTAGAGACATTAATGATGGTTTATTTCTTAGAATCTGGCGCAACTTGAAAGTACGTTCCAAACTAATAAGAAAAAACGAACTGCGGATCAAGCGTTTGGGAGTGACTATTTTGATTACATCTATGGTATTGTGACCACAGGTACGGAGTGGCATTTTATCATATATACTCCGGATGGCATCTATTCCACGAGTGGTAGTGAGTACCAGATCAATCTTACGAAGTCTGCGATAAAAGAAAATCCAGAACTACTTCGTAGTAACGTGAAAAGGGTAATCGGCATCATTGTTGAGTTGTTGAAGGATCGGATTAGTGTCGATAGTTCCCCAGCTAGCAAGAGGGCTAGGATCAAAAAAATTATCAAAAAATAATATGTATCACGAGCAAAGTCCCGAACATTTGTGTTTATTTTTCACATGTATTAATAAAAAATTTTCTTGGCAAATTTCGCTAACGGGCCGTGAAGAAAAGCACGTGATTTTTTTTATTTTAAATACTAACATACAGAGCATAAATAATATTATGTTAGCAGACATGCAATCCGAAATAGATTCACTGAGGCAACGTATTACCGAGTTCGATACCAGAAATGCGGAGCTTATAAGGCAGATGATGGAAGAGAGTAACAGACATGATGCTAGAATTGAGAAGTTAGAGCAGTATCTCGATGAGCTTGAAAAAGAATCAGAATCTAAGAAAAATGCATCCAGATAGCCAAGAAAATTCTTCATGAAGAGCCGATAATTGATTATCGTCCTTCTTTCTTGAATGGATTAGAGCTTGATGCCTTTTTCCAAAAATATCAAATTGCATTGGAGGTGCAAGGGGCTCAACATAGGTTTCATAGCACCAGCTAGTATAAAGATGTCAAAAACTCGAGGACATCGTTAATCGTGATCGGCAAAAAGATGCATTTGTGTAGATAATGGAATTTTTCTTATTGATGATCAAAACCCGGAAATTGTTATTCCAGAAAGGATACGAAAAATTAAAGAACTCGTTAATCAAGCATCCAAAAGTTTTGATCTCCTATAATCAATAACTTACGATACATGTAACTTTATGTTTAAATTGTAGATAAATATTACAAGATTAATATCCGTGAGGCCTGTAGCTCACATTAGTTTCTTATTTTTTCCATACCTCACCCCTAATCCATTATGAGAACTAGAACTTTTCTTTGACGATATATTTGTAAGAGGACTTTTTCGGCATGCCAAACATTGTACCTCAATGTGATAGGCTAATGATTGAGATAAGGTTCGATGTATCACAACATATAGCGCGAATTCTATCTCAAAACTTAGTAAAGAAGAACTCCAAAGAAGTTATTAAGAGTTTCTCCGATGATAATAATTCGAATTCTTTTGCCAAAGAACAGACTTCAGAAATTTCGTTTACCTCGGGTAAGGAAAATCATGTGACTGAAATTTCTGAGACCGGCGAGTCCGAAGTAAATGCATTATCTACATCTGTCTCTAACTCTTTTAGCGAAAAATTACCTGATATAAAGATGAGCACATCAATCACGTCTCAAACAAATGTACAATATACATCTTCAATATCATCTAGCAAATCCAGACTTCCGATTTCTATCTTACCTGAAGATCCCGAAGAGAAGCAAAAACATATCATTGGGTTGGTGTTAGAGCAGTTTCCTTATCTATCTTTAAGCGATAGCGATGAACGTGATGACAGATTTAATCTTAATAGTTCAGTAATCTGTCCTATATGCAACAGGGATCATAAAGAAACTATATGTAAGAATATAAAGGGTGAATGGAGTTCAGGTGAATATTGCAGAGAACGAACTTATCGCCTCAAATGCTGGAATGATCTTCGGGGGTGGAATCCCAATAGTGAATGTGAAATCAGCATAGAAGCGAAATTTCGTGTTATGCACAGTGATTACATCATTATATACAAATAGGAAATATGTGAGTGATCTATGTTTTTCAATTTGTGAATTAAATGACAGGGTTATCAAAGCCAAAGATGATAATAAAAAAACCGTTCTAGAAGTGATCCATACATATTATTATTTTTGAAAGGGTATAAGTTATGATGTGATCATTATAAAAAAACCATATACGTCTAATTCTCTATTTAACGATAAAACGCAGACTTATCTTAGAAAAGGGATGGAAAGATGAAACAAATCACATTGTCTTTTTCTGTTTTCGGCTAAGTGAAATTTACTGCGCCAAATTTTACTCGTAATTATTACTGTTGCAGACTCCACATGAGCACAATATTAAACAAGACAATCAGAATTTGTATTTTATTGAATTCTCGTTCATTAACGGCATGCCAGAAAATAGAACAACTGCCCGTCAAGCCCAAGTTCAAAATACATCCGTTAAAACTAATCAAAACCCTTCTTTAGAAGGAAATAACTCTATGGATTCAACTAACAAGAATCAGACACAAGGTATTGAGAGATCAATACTTTCTTTTTGTTATTAAATACTGAAGCCATTACAATTAATTTTTAGTGGACGATTTGTCCTACTACTCGCCTGATGACGATTTTAGTGACTCTGAAGAGTCTAAAGCGTTAACGGTTAAACATCGCATTCGTATTGTATCCGACCGATTCTGATTCAGTAAGTTTTTTTTGGAGACTACCAGACTAATTGTTCGCATTTCATTTCAAAATTAAGTTTCTCTCAAGAGAATGTATGAAGAAATCCATGAATTTCCCGACCCCAAATACATATTCGACCTTAAAACAAAAGGGCTCACTACTCCTAAAAAGTTTGTTGCATGGTGGAATAAGAAACATCCAGATTTTCAAATCACCGTTGATTCTATTTGGGAATGGAATTATCGCAAAGATGAAGATTCTTTCCGCTATAATCTCAAATGGGGCGAGTATGGAGATTGAGATTAGAGTATTATGAACAGGTTGTCTTATACCATTTTTATAAACACATATGAATATTAATTTCAAAAGAGGAACAGTTTTTTAAAAATTTCAAAATTTTTTAAATATTAAAAAAAATTTTAAATGTATAAATAAAAATCTTATTTTATAGTAAAAATTACTATTGTAATTAAAATATCTGATATTTTATATAACTGCTATTTAGTTATATAATTTTAAAAAAATTATATAGTAAGTTTTTTTAGTTTTTATTTTCCATGATAAAATCTTAGTACCGCCGCAGGTGATCATCACCGCAAAAGTTTGTTCACATGATATTACGATATTATTCTATTTAGATTCAAATTAAATCAAAATAGTTTGTGAGAGTACTTTTTTCTTTTCATATACAAATATTCTTCTTTTTTATTTTTTTTTATATATACTTTCTTTTTTTCCAAAATAAATATTGATAATTATAATGATGAAATTAATTTGAATGATCCTACAATATTTGATGATAATAATAGCTATAGTTATATTGCTAATAAATCAGATGAATTTGAAAATGATGATGGTAAGTGTTATACAGTTTTGTTTTATTTTTTTATTTTTTTTTTATTTGTATAGTAAATCAAATAGGAGTATAGTTCCATACAGTAAAGATGTAAATATCACAAATATAGAAATAGTTCTCTTTCATCCTGAAGTGCAATGAAAATGCTTTGATCTACTTGGCACTAAGGTTGCTTGCCGAAACCTAGGGATTTAGGCAAGATGGCGTTTCGCCAAAAAGTGAAATTCTGCCAAAACTATATTAAAGTTATATTAAAAAACTGGCGAAACTTTGGAAAAAGGTGAAACTGCCAAAACTTATTATAAATGCTGAAACTGCTGAAACTCTGCCGAAACTATAATAAATCTATAGTAAATTTTTGACAAAACTAATCGTAGGATTTTGAAGAGGTTTAGACAAGCAACCTTACTTGGCACAAATGTGCCTTTGAGCCAAAAGAAAATAGACAGGAAAAAATAAATCAAAAAAAAAAGAACCCACATACAAAAATGAAAACAAAAAAAACAAAATGAAAAAAAAGGGAAATAGTCAGTAATGAAGTTTCCCTACAACAACTATACTTCTAAAATTAAGACTATCTAAACATTCATTAGAATTTATCAAGATACTCCTAATTTTCTTAGCATTAACCTTATTTCTGCTAATACTATAAGCTTGTCAATGCCATCCAAGACCTTATCAATCTTCTTGATTTTCTTGATCACCTTACAGTTTTGTTTATTAATATTGATTTTTTGATATTTAACTAGATTTTTAACTATAGATGGTCTTGAGCATTAAGGACTGATCCTCTTGTAATTTGAAAAAAAGGTATTCCTTTTAAATGGTTAAGTCGTAATCTGTGAATGATTGACATCAAATCATATGATTTGTATATAGTAAATTTGGGATTAAGATACATAATAACTAGCTATAATAAATTTAAATATCTTGTTGACAAAATTTAACAACCATCAAAATGGTTCAAAATTTACATGTTACTTTAATAAAATCAGGTTATATAGTCTCTGAAGTTCACTATGGATCTTATTTATTTTATTGGTAGATATTTTCAGATGAAAATAAAACTTTGTTTCTGATTAAGCTGGAGCAACAAATTAAAGTTCACACTAACAAAGTAAACTTTATTTTAACAATACAAACTGGCTATCATTAGATTTAGAAACATTCATCTTCTCATTACGTACAGGTATACTCCTATTTTCTTGAATAATTCCCCCAGCTTTAGATTAGGAAAATTGTTCTTTTACCTAAACTAAAGATTATAAAAAAGGAATGTCAATCATTGAGTTTTAAAATAACTGGAATATGTTGGTATTACTGGTATTACTAAACTTTTTTTGTTGCATTTTATAAGTAGGTTCAGTCTCTTCTTCCAATGAATATAATGACTCAGCATAATTTATTCTGGATCTTTTTCTGAATGAAAATCTCCTGGAAGAACTTCTTTCCTATCATAAAAAACAATGTAGTCAATATTAATATACCTTTTTGTAGCTGTAAATAAAGACTATAATCACAAATTTATTAACCTCGTGTTCATCATTATTTAATTCATTAATGTATGTATGATTCATGCAGTGGTACTAATAGAATTATTAGTTATGTTATTGTGACTTTTGTTTTCAAGACTGTTTTAAGCTTACCTCTAAAGTTTTAACTGCGGAAGTAGATGTTGCATTATAAATCTTACAAGCTGTATTAAATTCACGTTCCTTTTGCTCTTGTCGACAAATTCTTTTACTTCGGCCGTAGAGAATGATTTCTTGAAATCAGTTATAATCTTGTCCAATTTGTTATTTACATATACATAATTATCATTTTCTTTGTAATTCTATAATGATGCATATATATCATTCTTAAGATTATTGATGAAAATCTGAATATAATCAACATTTTGATTTGTATATTCCAAAATAAAAATAATTGACCAATGTTTGTATTTCATTTCGCTGAAATACTTTGTTATGATAGATCTAAACTTTCTAAGAAAGAATAAAATTAAGTTGAATTATATTAAACTATATTGATTATAATAATTAACGAATCGTATTATCTAACTTTCTTTGAACTCCAAAAAAACTTAGTATACTATACACATGACGAATTATACATTTTATAATAACAGATAACAATGACTAATAATTCTTTTCAGCTCAAGTAAGCAAACTTTTTTAAATAAATAGTCAAGATATACTGGAAAACAGCATGCAGAGATCAGGCCTTGATTAAGTACTTTTCTGAAGACTGCCTCCAAACATCTAACGCAGGAAGATATAGCCATATGCCAGTAGGTATACATAACACATCCTGGTCACTAGCATGCAGGGATCAGGACTTTAGCATTTAGCTCAAGTACTTCCCTGAAGATTAACATCAAATATCTAATGCAGGAAGATATAGCCATACGCCAGTAAGGATACACTTGACTTGTTATATAAATATACAGAGAACTTGCACGAAAACATTAATAAATTAGACTGACCTTGGTAGTTATAACGTGAAAACTTTTAAAAAGCTTTTTACAGTATGTATTAAGTGTATGAATGATAATCACATGTATTACTAAGGAGACAACTTAATTTATTTTCTCGCATGACAGTGGTGCAGTAATAACCACTAATCCTTAGAATTTGACTTCACTTTTCGTTAGATCTGAAAAACTAGATGCAGTAAAAGTTTTAATACGAAGAATCTTATCTTCCTCTATCATATTGAAGATGTCATAAATTTTTCTGTTGGACTTTCTCTTAAAAAAATCTATTTTTTAAAGGAATTAGAATTTTCCTAATATCATACTGCGCATTTTAGGAGATCGATTCACATGACCAACCTACTATATTACTATTGCGAACTTAAATTTATTGCTTGAAGTATTGCAGATAAGATAATATTCCAATTTATTTGGAAATACAACTTTGCTAATTCAAAATTATAAGGGAACTGATTTTCATTTTCACAGTACCATGAGCTATATAATTCATAATTCCCATGTTTTCCATTGCAAATAGAGCATGGTGAGCTCCACGGCTGAAGTAATGCAAAATTATAATTATCAATTTTCCTAAAACTATTTTGGAATTTTAAATATGTGAAATGCTCTAACATGTATTTGATAATTAATTCTAGATTGGATCAGCATAGCAGGCTTTCCGATTTTGAATAATCACATGATGATTGGCAAATGTGATTTTTGCTTAAATAACAAATAAAATTTAAGTAAATCATCAAGTTTTCAAGTAATTTTAAATGACGTAACAGTCATAACACTGACGTAATTGTTTGTTATATAGATATGTATTTTATTGGCTGGATATCAAATATATCGGCATATGATAATTGTACTAATTTATTTTAATTGTGCCACAAAAAATTTAATAGCAAAGGACGATAAAAAAAAATCAATTCTTCAGGTTATGTTTAAATGTATTACAAAGGAATCTGGCTATTGGAGATGGAATCCAGAAGTTATAAATACTTGAAAACTTCTTATAAAACGAAAATAAGCATAGTACATTTTCTTTCAAATTGTAATAAGCTGAAGAAACAAAGAAATATGAGATCTATTTACAACAATGGAAACAGACATATTTAAAGGTTTGTTTTTACTTAAGCTTTTTAATCTACTATATGTTTATTGAAATTTATGATGGAAGAACCCATTTGAACAAGCTCTTTCTTTGTATATTTAACAACTTCTTAAAAATTTTTTTTTGGGTTTTATAATAAATTATTTACATAATTTTTTTCTGTTAGAAACTGATCTTTCTAAAATTTTATTTTCTTTGAATAGTAAATGACTCTTTTTCATTTCTTTAAATAAAATACAAAATCTTAAAAATAACTTATTGGTAAGAAATTTTATGATGTAATATTAGTAATATGGTATTATTTTCTCAGTGAGTATATTGGCTAAACAAATAATTTTACATTTTAAAAGATTAAATCACACTCTAATTTTGGAATCAAAGATCTTTCCAATTGATTCACTACATATAGAAATGTTGACAATCAAATTCATAATTAG